AGAAGAAGAAGAAGAAGAAGAAGAAGAAGAAGAAGAAGAAGAAGAAGAAGAAGAAGAAGAAGAAGAAGAAGAAGAAGAAGAAGAAGAAGAAGGGGCACCGGCGCCATCGCGCGCGAGCTGCCCCGGAGGCACTGCTGCTGCTCCCCGGCGGCCGGGGTATCACGGGCGGGCGCACACACAGCCGTGGCGTGAGTAGGTGTAGTTGGGGCCGTAACGAGGGCGGGGCCGGGCCGGGCGGGGCGCACATCGATGGCCAGCTCACGAGCAGCGGCCAGGTGTTGATGGAGGCGCCTCCCCTCGGACCAGCGCCGTTATCCTGTCCGTCCGGTAGTCCGGTAGCCACCACCACCACCACCACCTCTACCCGCTTCTACCCCTCACAATCACCGCCACCAGCACCAGCACCACTACCATCGCCACCACCACCACCACCACCACCACCACCACCACCAGCAGCACCACCACCACCTCCATATCCCTTCCTCCGCTACCATCATGTCTACCAAGAGCACGGCGGCAAGACCCGGGTGACGTGCACATGAGGAAGTAGCCGACCTTGTCCGCCCGGGCGCGGCGTCGGTGTGGGGTGTGGTGGGAGCGCGGAGAGTTGTAGTGGGGCGTGTAGCTCGGCGTGTAGCGCTCGCGACCGGCACCGTGTTCCGCGCTGTAAGGGAGGCGGGAGCAGAATGTCGTGTCCCCCCTCCAACCCCCTCCACGTCCTCCCCCCTCCCGGTGCAGCGGCGGCGCACCCGGGCCCGGGCTCATAATGCCCCGTGCACTGTGTAATGGTCTTTGCGCGGCGTTTAATGGCATTTTATGTACGCGTAATGCCACAAGTGATGGCAGCCATATATCTGATGAAGCCAGCCAGCCAGGAGCAACTACCCCGTAACAACGCCGGCCTCCCCGCAGCGTGGCGGCGCCCCCCGCGCCGAGAGGGACGGCGGCTGGCCGGGAGGGGAGGCAGGAGGGGAGCGACAGAAAAATCTCGGCAACATGACTAAGTATGCGACTCTAAGTGCGGAGCGTCGAGCGGGGACTTGCGGAGCTGCGCTCGCCGCGGAGCTGAGAGGCAGGGAAGGAGAAGAAGAGTGTATATTTTTGAGAGGGTGCTGCAGTGGTTGGATTCGGTCGTCCCCTTGCGAGAGCACCGCTCGGATCGGGTGAGCGGAGAGGAGTGGAGGAGAGGCACAGCACGAGGCCGGGCTGGCGACGTCGGGCCGGCCCCGAGGAGGAAGGGGTGGTCAGGACGGACCGTTTGTCGGCACAAACTCAATCTGGACAAACTAATGAAGACGATGTCTGACCAGGAGTAGGAGTAGAAACCCCTTCCAGTCCGCTCCAGCCGGACATGCTCGTTACGGGGCGACCCTCCAGTGTGATCTGGTTTGTACGCGGGGCGCCCGGGGTCGGGCGTAGGCCGTGGGGAGCTCTGCTGCTGGGCCTTTTCTCGGCGGGGCCTTTCTGCTTCCTGGTCAGGGAGGCTGTCCTCCCCGGGCCGGGGCCGGCCGGCCGGAGCGAGCCTCTGGGGAAGTCGTGTCGCGGTGACTCTCCGGAGCAAGTCCTTGAGAGAGCACCGAGCGGCGGCCGGACCGGACCGGAGTCGTTGTCGGCCCGCGTAAACCCCCGTGTAAACCGTCGAGTGGGATGGGGGTGAACTGTTGAGTGGGCGACCAGGGCGGCCGGGCAGGGGCGGACTTGCCCGCAAACAACCCCCAAAACGTCGTTGCCAAGCCCGCCGTCTCACCGTCACCGTCCAATCACGATTGCAAATCAAGCGGCTGTGCCCCGCCAGCCCCGCCAGCCCCGCCAGCCCCGCCAGCCCGGCCCTTGCGTTGACCGTCCGTGCCTGTCCGGCCCCGGCGCGGGTCCACCACGCGCGCCTCCTCGAGAAGCAGAGAAGCAAGTTCATCCACCGTGCCGTGTCTACTACGTAAAATATACGCGTAAGAATGGAAGAACCTAGGTTTTTGTGTGCGATAAAAAAGCAGTAGCACTAAATGTCGACTATTTACAACGCTACTACTTGCTACAAACTATGCTCAAGAACGGAGACGCGCATTTTCATTTTATTTTTTTCAAAAGACTCAAAACTACTTTGTTTTGTAATGGTCATTTTTACTGCGACGCCCGATTCGCTTGGAAGCGGCACGTGGGAGCGGCTGTGGTTGTGCAGGGCACGAGTTAGAAGTCCTGCCGCTCGCACTGCAGCTGCCGCGGCTGCTGCGCCCGGCCCATTCCCACCCGGACCATACAACTAACGTGACAACCACTTGCGGCTGCTTGTTTCTAGTTGGAAATTGTTTTGAAGTTGTGGCGGCGGCGGCGGCAGGCACGGCTCGGGGGGTCGTGCCGCCAGCGGAGGGCGGAGGGGCCGGGGCGGGATTGAGAAACGGAACCGCGCCGCGCCACGCCAGGCCCTTATAGTTGAACCTGTAACACGTATAAACCATGTATTGCAGCCGTTGTGTGCTCCCCACCAAAGAGGACCGACAGGGTGGGGCGGGTGGGGAGGGGGGCTCACTGCTAGTTCGCAAGCTGTGACGACGCGCCTCGGCCCTCCAGTGCCCGACCCGTCTGACACGTACCTGCTCCCCCAGTTTCAGCAGCGTCTACTGTAACGAAGCCACCGCGCCACCGCCGCGTCCCGAGCGAACCGCGTTACACAGTAACGTCGCCATCGTATCGTTCGTTATTGGCGACATGAAAGAATCACCCGAGGCATTAACTTTTTTCGGTACGATGATTTTAGAGTTGAGGCAAGTACACTACCTCTCCATGGCCAATGACTCCTTGATTGGCATCTCTAATCAGCACAATGTTGGTCGCCCTTTTGGCGATGAATAACTGAAATAAGGAAGTGAAAGTGTTGGGGTTGGGAACACTAACTGGAGAATATTATCGGTGATAAAAGTACTGTCATGAGTGTTGGCGATACTTCAGCTCTCTGTGGTACTCTGGAAATCCAGCATTGATACACGAAAATGATATTGCTTCAACGCATTGGGACAGTACTACTGTTCGAAATGCAATACTTTAAAGAATAATGGTACTGTCCCACTGGTCGTATATTTTTAAAGTAGAAGATAGTTTTAAAGTTTGAACTTTTTATCCTTCCAGTTCTGCATTTAAAATATTGTCATACTGTTTCTTTGTTTGCAATAAAAGTGTCGAACTTTCGTTTTCAGACAAAACATTCAACATCTTAAGTTTTAAGAGAATTTGCTGAACAGAAAGGGTGGAATGGAGGGGGGGGGGGGTCAGGGGTCCGGTGCACACAGCAGAATAAAATAGAAAGTTTTGTAACAACGCAACACTGTAATTCTTTTCTATTCAAAAAAACACATTTGTTAGCGTTATTGTGCCACTTAGCACATGGTGTACCATGGGCGGTCGACGAAGAACACGTGAAGAGTAAACATGCCGTACTTGTTGATCCACTTGCTCATGCAGTCAGGAGAGTTTGGTGCAATTTGCTGTAAGGAGAAAAAAAATAATCAGTTAGTCGTCATCATTCCCCGAGAGCCTTAAAAGAGCGCGATCCGGCCTTTGTTTTCTACTGTGTCACACGTTTTTTGTGTGAAAAGAACATGGCCCATTTATTTCTATATTGTGTGGAACAGCTACAAACTATTTGCACCTACCTTTGCAACGAGCGCTGGGGGAGCCTCAAACCAGCCGCGGCCCTGGCTAGGTTTGCCGTACCAGGTGAAACCAAAACCGTTCATCTTCTTGGTCTTGGGTCCATACAGCAGGAAGTATGGGCGGTGGTTTTCGCATTTAGATGTCTTTGACAACTCTTGGAAATAGTGTTTTCCTTTAAAAGAGAAGATACATTATTATTTAGTTCAGTCCGAAATCGAGCCGACCTTTTCGTTTCACTTTCAAATTTCAGAAACTGCAATTGCTACTTACCCATGCCGTAGAAGCAAGCCTGTTCGGTGAAACCGGCAGCAGTGGCTTCGGCTTCAGTGCTGGATACCGCGAGGCGGCCCGTTTCCTTGTTGTCAATGTCCACCTGCTGGACGAAGATACCCTCGGGTGCAGTTGGGGTGTTTTTGTCCATCTTTCGGCCTCCGCTCAGCAGCACCTCTGAAAGTATTAACGTAGCGATAAGCAATTTCAAAACACCGGGGCACTATGTTTTGAATATGTGTAGTAGATTGATCAATTTTATCTTCTCCCACCTTTCGACACGAAGTAGGCCGTAGCGGTCCACACATCCTTGCCGAGGAAGAGCTGGCGGCGCCACTCGGGTGTGAGCAGCGTGCTCAGACCACCAAAGCTAGCAGAGTCCTTCGAGGTCAGCTCAGCCTCCCTTATCTGGCAACAATAATTGCTTGGTTGTAAGCTCCATCGTGCATAAGGCCAGAGTAAAATTTAATTCTGCTCCAATCAAGTTAGCGGGTCAGTTTTGCATTCGAGCAAAATAAAAATGTTGTTGGCACAAACGTTCAGCTGTTCAGATACGTGGCATTAGCCGATTGAAAGAGGGAATCACTCTTGGGCAGCTAACGACAGTTGCAGTGGCGCGGCGAAATCAGCTAACGCAGTCTACTCTACACAGTTAGCATTAGTGCTTTGTCTCTTACCGACACTTGGATTCCCGCGACGCTGCCCTGCTGGTCGAAGAGCACGCACACACGGTAGTCGTTCTTGCGGCACCACACGGTCGTCTTGTCCTCGTCGTTGCTAGTGACCTGGGAGAACGAGTCCTTCTTGGCCTCGCTGACGGTGCGGGGCATGGAGTAGAAGCTGAACTGGTGGAAGGGGTCGGGGATGATGCTGTACGTGACTGCAAAAAAAGCAATACGAGTATGAGCACCAGCTTGAGACAGTCGAGAAAATCTCGAGTTGTTTTCGTCTATTCAATGAGGTTACTTTCAAGGATTTTAAAGTGGTGTCACGACTTACCCATGAACTTGTTTCCTACGGTACCCGCATCAAGCACTAAAAAATAAATCAGTCATAGGTTAATTCTGCGTCAAACTTACCAGAATCAACTATTTGGCTCACAAAATTGAATGTTGATGGTAAAATCGTGTACTTACAACCGCCGATAGCAGGGCTGGCCGCAATGGCAGCAAGTGCGAGGAGTAGGCGCATCATCGTGCTCGCTCAGGTTGATCACTCGAGTCCACACTTCACAACTGGCGCGGGGACGAGTTTATATACGCCAGAAGAACGTACAAGGGACACGTGCCGGCTCTATAGCTCTTTGAATGTGTCGGGTGAGTCTGTTTGCACAAGTGCGACGCATCATGTGATGTCGAAGTACGAGAAGTGTGCAAACTGTTTTAATTGATGTAGCCAGGTGTGCGCAAGTGTAGCAATTAGAAATTGTTTGTCTCAGCGTTTTTCGGAGAATTTACCCGAGGGGTCGACAACTCAAACCTTTTGGTGTACACAGCAGAGCAAGAGTCCCCAGTAACTCGACTACAGGCGGACTCGGCGGAGTACCTGGGACGGAGTACAGCCGGAGTGCACGGAGAACAGTCGGAGTGCGGTCACCCTTGTACACATGAGTACCGAGTTGTCGACCCTTTGAAATTACTCTGATCCAGGAAACCAAATGTGAAGAAGTATCCGAGCAATTACTGCATACCTTCAAGTTGCACTTACGAGTGCACGGCTGCATAGCTGAACAGTTACAGCTGCAAAAACGCACATTTACCACATTGAACACCTGTAAGTTAAGGGGGCATCCCAGAGTAAAGGGCCTAAAACAAGCGTGTCTTTCGATTTAAAAAACTAAGAAAACCATTGGTCGTACAGAAAACCGGACCTACACACTAAACCCTTATGCATTTTGTTTTGCATAAATTTGCAGAATTTTATACAGCCATAAGTATGCACAATTTCTTATGCATATTTGTACAAAATGGGCATAACTATGCACACATTGTACATTGTTATGCATAAAATTGTGCATATGGCTGTATGAAATTCTGCAAGTTTTATGCACAACAAAGTGCAAGGATTTAGTGTGTACAAGTAAGTGTTTACCGTTCGAAAGCTCGAAATACGAAATATTCAGAGTATACGTTGATTTTCGCAGGGAAACAAGAACCGGGACGCGTTTCAATCCAGAAATTTCAGCCCGAACATCATGTTGCATCATAAGCTCGAAAAACCCGGCGTGCTCGCGATAACGAGGTCAAGTATAATGCTGAGTGCATTCACGAAAGGATTGTGGATTGCATCATCGAGCGATCTTGTCCAGTAGCCTAAAGTCCGTCTCAAACCGGTAAGGTGATTAAGTTAAAGAGGTATAGAGTTCGGGCCTACCCCAGGAGTGTTGGAGGGAACCGCTGTCATTACGGCCTAGCACGAGGCCGCAGCTATGTCCGGCCGGCTTGGGGGAGGAGGTGGGGTGCTAAACAGCTCGGCACAAGCGGCGCCTGCGGAGGGCTAGCGGCGTTGGCGGCCCGGCCGAGGAGGTCCCTCTGCCTGGCCTGGCGTGGCTGCGGTCAAGTCGCGGACCTACAGCCCGACCACCACGTGGCGGACAGGCTAGGCCGACCTCGAGCCACCCCCCCCCCCCCCCCCTCTCTCTCTCTCTCTCTCTCTCTCTCTCTCTCTCTCTCTCTCTCTCTCTCTCTCTCTCTCTCTCTCTGAGAGTGGAGATGACGCGCTTGCGGTATGCGGCTTTAGCCCGTCGGGCTGTGCCTGCGCCCCCGCACACTCCAAAATCACACATGCTAAATGATGTCTCCAGTCTTGACTCGCTCTGTTCCCCACCTCTCTCTCTCTCTCTCCGCCCTAACAGCACTCCAGTACACAACCCTTCACACCCACCCCCACCCCCTTTCCCTTCTCCAACCACATCCCGGTCCCACAACCATCCCGCGCCGCACCCGACCCCCGAACCCTGCTCGCCGTGCCGGGACGGGTTGCCGTCCGCCGAGCCGAGCCTGTGCTGGCTTGGCTCGGCACACGACTCTCCGAGCAAACCCCATAGGCAACCCGCCAGGCAACCTCCCTAAAACCCAGCAGGCATCAACCCCCGCTGCCCCTGCGCAGCCCCCCCACGGCCTAAGAGGGTGAGCACGGCCCCGCCCCGCCCCACCGGCGCCATTCAGGTAAGGCAACTGGCTGGAACAGCCGTGGGCCCCTTGTAGACCTGGCCCCCTCTCAACATCTCCCTGTCAAAAGGTGACGCTTTATTTTCTTTAAACTGGAAGCCAAGTTATAACTCTCAACCTTCACAATATGCTCTTAGTGCCCCATATAAGAGTGCAGATTTTTTTAGAAAGAGCCTGACGTCAATACGTTCACAAATGACTTTATCTTATGATTGAAGATCAAGAACATTACTGATACTTCTTTCAATTCCAACCATGCTGTACAAATATACAAATTTAAAATGCCCACTGTATTTCAATATTTTTCTGCTTCGTAATAAAGGGCAGCCTTCTCAAAGACCAGTTTGGTTTCTTTGACAAGAGCAGTAGTCGGCGCGTACTCCCTCTTTATTGTAGCGGAGGTGTGTGCTGTAACGGCTGGCGCAGCCTCGGCGCGGTCACGGACCAGGCCGAACAGTCCATTGCGTCCCATTTAACAAAAGGCGAAGGCGGTGGCGGCGGGCGGCACGGCCCGGCCGGACCAGCCCGGTTAATCTTTTAAGCAAGGCGGTGTGTGCGCTCGCGTGTATATGTGTGCGAGGGAGAGCGATCGGGGAGGCAGAGAAGGGCGCGGGAGAGAGAAGAAGCGAGGAGAGAGGAGGTGAGGAGAAGGGCAGCAGGGGATATGGCAGCCCGCCACGCTAAGCCACGCCCCGCCAATGCCCTTGCTCCGCACGCTCCGCAGCAGTAGCAGCATCTTTTCGCCTGATTTTGTGCTGCTGCTGCTGCTGCTGCTTCTCCTACAGCGTGCCTCTGTACAGCAGCAGCCCGGCCCCACCACTTTACTCTCTCTGAGATCCTCATTCCGGACCGGATGCCTCTCTTCCCCCTTGCCCACCTCATCCCCCCTTTTCAGCTCTCTCTCTCTCTCTCTCTCTCTCTCTCTCTCTCTCTCTCTCTCTCTATCCCTTCCTGTGCGCCGTACTGCTGCTACTCCTTTCCCGCAAAGGAGAGCAAGAGCTTTCCACCTTGTTTGGCGTCGCCGTCATGTCCTCAATAGAGTGAGTGGAGAGGGTTGTGTCTCTGTCTCTCCGTCTGTCGTTCCGTCCGTTCGCCTGTCTGTTTGTCTATGTATACCTGTTCGTTTGTACCTCTCTCTCTCTTTCTCTCACTCTCACTGTTTTCCTGTTTGTGCGTCTACGTCTGTGTGCATGGGTTAGCGCGCTGATTGGATACAAAAGAGCTTTTGTGAGGCTCTTTTCTGCCTTCTGCAATACTACCCTCCCTTGCCGCTACCCCCTCGCTTCTCTAAAAATCACCCCCCATCGACGGGGCTGCACAACCAGCGTGTTGCCGTGCCGCCAACCCAACCTGCTCGGGCAGTCGGTAGCAGTGCTTTTGTCCCCGCCGCTTGGCGTGGCGTGGCGCTGCGCTGCACCGCTGCGGTCCGGATGGGGGGCTGCTGGGGCTGCTGCCCCGGACCTCCCCAAAGGGGGGCGGCTTTACGCCGCGCACGGCAAAGTGCAGCGCAGCGCACCGTTGTGTTTATTTAAGACAGGCCGGCGGCCGTCGCGATGGGAATCGCCCTCCCGGTAAGCCTACCCTACAGCCCGCCAGCCGGCGGCCGCTGCCCGCCCCACCCCGCTGCGCCCCGCCGCGTCCCGCCTCGCCAAGGGGCCGAACGGTGCCATAATGGACCGGGGGCTTACGCCCGCACACCGGCTGCTGCTGCTGCAGGGATTTTCCTCGTTGTGCCTTTTTTTTCTGGTCCGTTTACCTCACATCAACACGGCCACGGTCGTACTGGCGGGGCGGGGCGAGGCAGAGGGGGCGGGGCGGGGACCACTCGGTGGGGTGCGGCACCATATAGGAGGGGCAAGGGCGGGCACGCGGCCGCCCCGGGCCGCCGCGGACCCCATCCAACTTTGCTGCTGCGCAACACACGAGTGCATCAGCCGTTGTTGCGGCCCAGCCATTTGCACAGCAGGAGCGGGGTGGGGCGCGGGCACGGGGGCATAAAGGCTGGCTCTTAGCCCCGCGGTGAAACCGAGCCGCGTCTGCCTGGCCCTGCGGCCCCCGGTCCGCCCTCGAATAAAAATGCAAAACGAAAAACAGCAGGAGCGCACTTTGCGGAGGAAAAGGAAAGAGAAGAGACGGACAGACAAAAAGACAGACAGGCAGACAGACAAACGGACAGACATACAGTGGCAAAGAAGGGTGAGAAAGGAAGTCATGGTAGAATCGAGTTCTGAATTCGAGCCTCGCTGAGGTTAGATCGGCTCGGTGCTCGGCGGGCTGGCCTGCTCAGCACAATGCTGGCCCGGCCGGGAGCCCCTGGCAGGCGGGCACTCCCGCCACGCAGGCGTGTTCGGCGGGCTGGCCCACCCAGCACGGTGCTGGCCCGCCAGGGAGCCCCTGGCAGGCGGGCACTCCCGCAACGCAGGCGTGTTCGGCGGGCTGGCCCACCTAGTAAGGCGCTATCCTAGGGCAGCACTTCCCGGTGCGCCGCGCGCAGCGGGAGGGGGGAGGGGGAGAAGGGTGGATGAGGGGAGGGGGTCAGAGCGCGGCCAGGGCGCGCCACTGTAAGATGGCGACGGTACGGCAACGGCGGGACAAATGGCGCGGCTGTGACTTATTGCGAGCGACAGTGACTGTGTGTGTGTCTCTCTCTCCCTGTGTGCGTGTGTGTCTGTGTCTGTGCGCGCGCCACTGCCAGGACCTCTATCCTGCTCCTCTCCTATCGGCCGGAAGTGAACGGGTGAAAGAGTTGGGGAGGTGGGGGGGGGGGCGGTATAGGACAGAACTATAAGAGGAAGAGAGAGAGAGAGAGAGCAAAAGAGCGGGGGAGCGAAGAGGGGTGAGGATTGAGAAAAAGCGAGCAAGCCACACAGCACTCCAAACGAAAAGGCAATAATCCTTAACGGTTGCGCGTGTAACTCTATCAGGATTCGCCCGGCGGCTAGAGAAGCAGAGTCCCCTGCTCTTCTGCTCATCCCGTTACTTCTCTCTCCCGCTCACCTCTCTTCTCTCCTCTCCCGCCTGCATTTCGAAAGTTCTACTACTGGTTGCTGCTACACCTAGCAGAGACTAACTATCGCTATGCAGGTTGGAATTTCCAA